GGTACCTCATAATTTTAATCCTAAAGGTACTTTTTAGTTGTAAAAATCTGAACTATAGCATTTGTAGCATGTTAAACTCATACTTACATCCCAGTGCACGGTTGCTGCAGTTAACCCTTCAATGTATAAACATTGCTATAATACCTGCCAAATATTGCATTTTCCTGGCCACAGGGAAACGAGTGTGTGTACTGTGTTGTAGCTGAGGCAAAACAGGCTCTTGATGGCTTAGTAGATGCAAATAGAGAATTTGCAATAGAATATTTAATGTGGGGAGATTCACAGGATCCCCAAGGCACAAAGGAATTCATATCTTGTGCAGATGTGACAGACTTGTTTTCTACTGCTTTACAGGATTAGTTTTAGGCAGGATACAGCCTGCTGCAGTTGTACTGTGTTGATTGAAGGATACTCTTCCTTAAGATAGGTTTTTGATGTCTTTGGGCGATGATGAGGAAACGGTGATAACTGATTTAAAATTATAGGTGGTGGTGCCAACTTCAACTATATGTTTCTTAGCACAACTCACTAGGAGGCTTTATTTGCTGTGGCTTATAACATTGCTTATAACTTTTCTGTTAGGAATTTTCTGTAAGGAGTGTTTCCTTCAAACTATTTTGTTTTGACTGAAACTGAATGATCTTAACAGCTCTGTCCATGAATATAGCTAGCAAATACATAATTTGCCAAAGCTAGATGTGCAGACTTTAAATAACGGCATTGTCGTGTGTGTTGCAATATATCCATCTCTCTGATGTTTAGATCTCTAAACGTCAAAGTTATAAGTTATAGTTACAAGTTATGTCATTTCTGGGAGAAGTCAACTGCCACTCTGCCAAACTGTACGTTTATGAGTGTATAAGCTTTGTGTATGCTAAACATGTAATGGCATCCTAGTAGCTTAAATCTGTAGGGAGTGTTCACTCACCAAATATTTCTTCTCTGAGCTCCTAATGCTGACCAAATTTTGCATACAGCATCCCAGTAGAGTAGCTGAACATATTCTGTTCCCATTTTTTCTCACATGTCAGTACAGTAAATCTGGCCCAGGGCTCTGTGAGAAGTGGGATTTCTCATAGCTGACTGGGAAAATAAATTTTTACACTCATATCTTTGATTTTATTTTTTTTCTTTTTTTGCACAGTATAGGTTGAAGTTAGTGTTAAATAGTTGAAGTGGTGAAACACTGTAACAATAAATACAATGGAATTAATCAGTCCCTCAGACTTTTCTATTTTCAGGGCACAGTTGGTGTTGTATTTATTAAAGGCAGTACATAAACCTTGAACAATGAGGAAAAACTAAATATCAAGTGGCTGCTCATTAACAGTGTATTATCCATTTTCTGTCTTGAATAGAAAGTGTCTTGGGAAAAAAATGTGCTTTTGTGTAATAGAGAGGTCTGTAACAAAGCTTAGGTGCAATGAGAAGATCTCAAGCTGAACAGACTTTCATTTCATCAGCTTTTTTTTTAAACCAAGTTCTTCATTTAATTACTCTAAATTCCCTGCAACACCGCGAAGAAAGGATAGTTATCAATTTAAGATCAGAAGGGACCACTGGGGGTAGACTAATCCAACCAGCTCACTCACACCAACTTAAAGCAAGGCCAACCAGGTAGACAAGGCCTTGTCAAGTTCTGGTGAAGCTGAAATCTCCTTTTCTGAAGTACAGGGTTGTAATGCTACTGTTTGTCTTATTCAGTTCTCTTGGAATTTCAAATTCCATAAACTCCTGGTTGCTGCAGTCAAATAGAAGCATTTAAGTCAAGTGTGTTTGTGTTACGCTTTGGGGTTTTTTGTTGTTTGTTCTTTTTTTTTTTTCTTTTTTTTTAGTGTGATCGCAATGTGCTAGCAACTCTTGTTATCTTTCCTCTTCCACTTTTACTTGACATTTGCACCTTGTGTTTGTAGGCTGGAGTGGCTATTTTGTTCATAATTTTGGGGAAAAAGTGGTACTGGCACGATGTTAGTATGTCATCCCTTTCCAAACAAGTCAATGGGTATCCTGTGTACCCTCAAAAAGGTGGGAAAGGGAAGGGACATTGATGTACCCATTGCTGTGTATTCAGCTACACACACGTAAAGGAAGTGGCCCATCTGTCATTATGCAGATAATTCTGACCTGGACAATAAGGAAACAACTGCTGGCCACTAGGCTTCTGTTAACAGATTAGTTTGGCAGTGCTGTTCTGGTTGTTACCTCTGAATGATCTTTGTGCACAAACCCAAAGTACTGGATATCTTCAGGTTAGGCCTAGAAGCAAAATCTATGTTCTGTGAGGAGAAAATGAGCTCTGTTAAGCAGTTAAGTCACATGACAGGCCTATGAAGACATAATTGGTTCTAATTGATGCTCACAGGAGCACTGACATGCTCTACCTGCAGCCAAATGGCTCTTAGAGAGGCGAAGAAATCACCTGTCTTCATAAATAGTGAAGAACTCTCTTCCAAGCTTGTCTTTGCTGCTGAAGGACCTGATAACCAGTACAAAGAAAAGGAGGAGAACTTGCAATTCAAGTGAGAATAATTTTGGAAAGTGGATTTTAATCTATGAAGCTATCAACAATGAGTAAACTAATCTTGTTTTGCTTAACACGTTGCTATGCCTTGTTTTAGTCTGTAATGAAAATACCCACAACTTTTAGAATAAACTGAAGGAGAATACTTGTAATGTAGTTTATAGTGGGCTGTTGGTATACATGTGTATGGGGGGAAGACAGATAATTCACTACCCAGTTGTTTCCAACTATCTCTCTAACCAAGAGGTTACCGATACAGTTGGGGATGCATTTAAACAGACAAACAAAACCCCTTTCTACATATTTTGCAATAGTCGTGCACCCTCCATCTTGAGTTCAAAGCTGAATAAGAAGATAGAGTTCAGTCTGTAAAATTAATCTTTATGAAACTGAAATTATATATGTGCACGGTTCCAGAATGCCAATGTTCTCTTCTGTTAATTCAGAATTATGAGTGAAATTTCCTATCTAACCCTGATTTCAGCCACATTTGTTTAAATTTACTGAGGGTATGTTGTGGTGGGTATGCACAGACCTGGCAGGAAAGAAACATGGATTCATTTTCACTCTGTCATTGAGTCGGCTGTTCACGAATCATTTCCTTTCTGTGTGCCTGAGTTTTTGATGTCTGTTTTGGTAATGTGTGCTGAGATGTCTAGAGGAAGCCTCTTAAGTGAGGGTGAAGTGTATCAATTATTTCTACTAATGTGTGGTATTTATTTGGAATTTGGGTCATAAAGAGCTTTAGTGGAGCTGTAGCTTTGTAGGCAAGTGTAGAAGTTACTCATATATGATCCTACCTGTTTCTGTATCTAACTACATTTACTCTGTTCAGAGTTGCTTGGTACATGTTGCTGGTTGGTACATGGAGGAAAAAGGAAAAAAAAAGACCATCAGTTGTGGTTTCACTCAGATTAGAAAATGTACCCAGTAACTGCCTGTACTTTCTACAGATATTTCATCCCTGATGCAGTAATGGGATCTGGGGTTTTTTGCTTACTATTCTGTAGCTTGTGACCTGTTGTGATAGTGCTCAGAAAATGAGGTGCAGTATGTGGCTGAAGCATTGGGCAGTGTTGTTCCTGGCTTGCCTGTAGATTTGGGTCTAGGACAGCAATTTTAGCTGTATTTTCCAAGAAGCTCAGGGGCTGATTTTATAACTGCTGAGTTATAAAATCCTGCTCCTAACCCAGATTGTTGAGTACAAGTCAGAATGTGAACTCCAAACGCTTCCGCTTCTCAGCTTCCTCTTCTGTGACAATAATTCCTCACTTGCGTGTCTGTCTTGCTCAGCTCAGAAGGTCCTCGTGAATGTGGGAGGACAGTGTTCAGCTTTGGAGAGGTTTGGTGTTGTCCTTAAAAACAAGGTCAAGGAACAGATTCCCAGGCTCACTGTAAAGACAAACAGGGCTGGAAATATGTGGACTAGATATCCAAAAATCTTTGGAAGTTTTGAGAAAAGGATAGTCTCTCACTATGCGTGAATAGTCTTCAGCTGAAGACAAGTCCAGCCTCGAGGAGAGCTGCCAGATATTCCCTTTGAATCCCATGCTTCTGAAACAGCTGTGGCTTGTTGTTTTTTCCCCCAACAGCAGTGTCCTATCTGGCATTGTCTTGGATATTAGCACTTATCAAATCATTCGTTCTTGATAAGCTCTTTGCTTATCTTTACCTTAAATGCTGCTTGTCTTTATTTAGGAACTAATAAAACGTACTTAATCAGGTTGTATACAGAAGAAATTTCCTGAGTGATTTATACCTTAAGAGGAAGCTTGCTTGTTTGTTTGTAGTTCCCCTGCTGTGATGTGTGTAGGAAGATGAGGATGTTTTGAATAACTTACATGCACATTTAGATTACTCTCTGGAAGTGTTTGTGAGTCTTGAGTCCGTGCTCATTTGAAGGATGAACTTTCCATACGGAGGAAATTGCACTGTCTGTTACCGAGTCTAATGGTGCAAGGCTAATGGTGAAGGAACAGGTACGTTTTGTCTGATAAAAAAGATGTTTCACCTTCATATCTCCTTCCATCAGAAAAAGTGTCTAGCACTCCAGAGCCATTGCTCTATGAAGGAAAACTTCCCATTTTTTAGAAGGAAGAAACATGTGCAAGTTGGAGAGGGCAGTCTAAAGCACCATTTCATGCTTGTCTTATAACACATATGGAATCAATTCCAATATCAAAGACTGCTCACAGTGTCATTTGCCACAAAATAGAAGGATTTTAGTACATGTTGTCCTCTTCTGTTACCTGGTTGAGTCTGGAAATATATTTCCATCATCTACTCAATTTTTCTGGAGCCTTCTTTGTGTGCTATCAGTACCCTGGCCCGCAAAAGGCATTAATTTCACCCCTTTAATGAAAGCATACGCTTGCTTATATTTTTCCTCTCAGGAGTCATAGCGTTTATTACCAGAGTTGGCAAATAAATAAATGAAATGGGTAACTAATACTTTTTTCTTTGATCTTGTGTTTTGCAGCTGGTGCCACATATATATTTGGGAAGAGTGGAGGTCTCATCCTGTACACCTGGCCAGCTAATGACAGACCAAGCACAAGGACAGACCGTCTTGCTGTGGGCTTCAGCACAACAGTGAAGGATGGCATTCTTGTTCGGATTGACAGTGCCCCTGGGCTTGGTGATTTTCTGCAGCTGCACATAGTGAGTATAGATAGGCCCATGTCTATGCCAGACCTGGGTTTCTGTTAACTGAATATGCACTTGAAGAAAACTATTACTCTAAAATAGCATGTGTCGTACTCTGCATTTTCTCTATCTTCAACAGTCATCAAATTGACCTGCCTTAGGTAGTTCTTTAGGGTTTTGTAGAATTACTGAGTGGGATGCACAGGGACCCAAGTCTTGGTGCCAGAAGAAGGGGAGGGGGGGACCACCCCCCCCCAAACAAACAAACAAACAAACAAAAAAAACAAACCAAAAAAAGCCTTATGAGATTCAATAGCAGTAGGATTTATTAAAAAATTGTAGAAATATTTTGTGGCAGTGTTAATCTACTGTGGCATATGCACAGTCCTGAATCCAGCTGAATTTATGGTGGAGACTATTATTATTCTCAGAAGGCAAAGAATGAAATGGAGTGATAGGTTGGGAGTTTTTTGGTTTATTTTCCTCACTGAGATAGTTAAGTGAGAACTGAACAGATCCTCAAACTGATATAACTGATGCTTGCTGTAGTGGGATAGTTCAAAAGAATAAGAATTTGATGTTATTAGCACAACATGGCTTTGCAAGAAGAAAATGGACTTTTTTGTGAGAGCAAGTATTATAGGGAAATTTGAGTGAAGGTGGTTTTAGGGAGAGTCAAATTGAGAAAATGAGAACACTAGAACTGGAAACTTTTGAAGTTTTTTATTTTATATGATGCTTTGGGAGGAGAAGAGGTTATTTGCTTTGTCTTCCTTTGCAAACAAAGTAGCCAAGAAGTTTGGCTACCAGAGGTAGAAGCTGGTCATGTTACTCAATGCTCAGATTATTTCCAATGTTTTAAGCATTAATTCATAGTGGGAAGGGAATGGGCCATTTGCAGGTTTTGAATGAGCTGGGGAGCTGTTGACATTTCACGGAAACTTGAAGATATAAGTAAACAGGAGGAATGCCAGGGGCCAAAACAGACCTAATGTGAATGACTGAGGGTCTTAATCTGCTGCTGGAGTTTGCCATGTTCAGAATCATGTTGAAGCACTGGGTATGTTGCAGGGTGGTTCCGAAACAAGGGTCAGGGCTAGTAGCATTGCCAGCATTTTGAGTGGTTTTATTTTTAATTTTATTGTAAAAATCAGATTTGTTTGAATGGGTTAGAATATGGCCTTGAGCCATCAGACTGTCACCAATTCTGGTTTCTCTCTTTTTCTGATGTATCCAAATATTTAATTTGTGTTTTGTGCTGGAATGAAAGTGAGATCAAATCCTAGCATTTTTTTAAGAAAAATAATTTTTCTTGCTTTCTTAAAAACAAAACAAGAAGAACCCCAGAAGACGGGTTGGAATTCAGTAACTTGCGGTAGGCAAAAGTGGTTTGATTATGTTTGAGCAAGAGAATATATGTTCTTCAGACTTTGTAATACAACATGTGTTAACTGGAGAACAGTATGCTTGGCATGTGAGGAGAGGTGCAGAGATATGAATTTGTTCAGTCTTAGAAAAAGAAGTCTAAGATGGGATCTTGTTGCTCTTGGCTGCCTAGAGGGATGTTACAGAGAAAATGGAAGTCAGGGTCGTCTTTGTGGTAGTTGGTGGAAGGAAGAGGGGAAACAGACACAAGTACCAAAAAGGAAATTTTAATCCTTCATTAAGATAAGAACTTGCACAAGGAAGTTTTTCAGCATTAATAATAAAGGCAAATAGTTTTTCTCTATATCTTGGTCTTGAATATTGTCAACTTTACTTTTAAAAATGAGTCCAACTGAACTTTTTAGTGAGTGATTTTTATATTTTTTTTTTTTTAACATTATAACTGATTTTGCTGGATAGATTGAAACAGATCAAACAAATTGAACCTGAGGTGTAAACATTAAAAAAAAAAAAAAAAAAATCATTACTTTCTCTTTCCAGTCAGTTTTAGAAAGGAAAGGAATGAAAGTTTTTCTGCTTCCTCCCAATATATTTTGTTCAAACTACTCCGAATGGCATGATGCTAGTTTCAGATTATTTTAGATATCTAAATCAAAGCTACTACTTGTGGTTGATATTAATGCTAAAAGTTCTGTTGACTGCTTCCTGTGTAGTTTGGCCAATTTTATCCCTGAAGATGTTCACTAGCACCAAATATAGAACTAGTTCAGCTTTAATTTCTCTTGTTCTTTTGTGGTCAGGATGGATTAGGAGGATTTGCCAGTCATTCATGAGGAGCAAAGGCGTGCTACTGTGCTCTTCTGGGTATGACATTACTGTTCATCATATATAACACTGACTCTACCTGAATGTTGAAATAAAGAACGTAGTCAGAGACTCATGCTGTTATACACAATAGAAAAGTTGAAGAGAAACTTTTAAAGTGTTATCGTCTTGTTGAATGTCTGTAAGACTGTGTTATGTCTGGTTTATGGTTCAAAGTCACAGAAGTGAGCTTACATCAGGACTATTTTGGAAAAAGTCAAAATCTGAAATGAAAGGTGCATCTTGAAATTACACTCTAAAATGCAAGACCATATAGGACCTCTTGCTTAGCAAAACGCATGCAAGCTTTCCATGAGATCAAGATCTTTTGTAACTGACTGAAAACTACTACATGCTCTTTGCTGTCATGTTCAAAGACTCTGTCAGTCTTCCTTTCTTCAAAACCTCATCCTTCCATTAGGCCATTTTCAAGTATGAAGAGAAACAAGGTGGCATGGATCAAATTATAATAGAAATACGGGAGACATAAATTTGTAGATCAGAGCTATGAAAGCAGATAAAATTGATAATAAAATAAAGTTTTGAAAACACAAATACTTAAACTATAAAGCAAATCGTAGGAGAAAGGGGAAAAATAGGTATTAAAACAGGGAAGATCAATGTTGATGTAACTTATTTTATGTATATTTAGCATCTTGACTTTTTCAGGAGCAATTACATTTAATAATAATAATGAAAGTGACAGGGATTTTCCTGGATTAATATTTGGGACGCCTCTTCTTCTGGGGCCCTTCTGGATATTCCAGTCACAGACTTTATTTTGGATGCTATTTACTGGATTCTGACCTCCTCACATTTCTCTGGGTGTCTTGTTGGTGATAACAGGTGACAAAAGCCACCTGGTGATCATTGCTTTCTAATGTGCATCGCTAACCTAAAATTTAATCCAAAAGTCATAGTATAGGCTATGGTTTAATCAAGATCTGATACTATTTTAAGGATTGTAAAAGTGGCTTGTACTCTGCTAAAGGAGGCTTCTTAATAGTTTGCCTGCTTTTTGAATATCATGTACGTTCTGAAGTGTTCATTATAATCTCTTTCTATTTGTAAAATTTAAAGTCAAAAAAAGATACCTTGTTAACAAGTTACATATTTGCTTGTTTAATTTATGGTTGTTTGGATCCATTTTTTAATTATGAGTCTTTCAGATATTGTGGAAATTTATTGACTAAGGCATCTGTTTTTATATGTCAAAAAATTACAGCCTCTGAAACTTATTTTCTCTCCTGATTTACAATGAAGTATAAACAGGCGGGCCTGTGAAAATGGATGGCATACCATCCAGATCAATGTTGTATATGAAGCACAAAGTATTTGTGTGAACAGACTGTAGCACATGGAATGAGAGTGGTGTTATAGCATCAAATCCCTCCTTATGAATTTTTTTTTATGACAATTCTTCCAAAACACCAAGTCCAAACCTGTACCAGAAAATTGCCTTCCACGATGGATGCTTAAAAGACTACATGTATGAGTTGTGGTTGAATGTTTCTGTATGTACATTCAGCTTATACTGCCACACATTTTTGTGATTTACAACATGCAAAAATCTTCATAGAGATCAAATGGGGAGAGGAAGACAGTTGCAGGTGGTGATGGTTATCATTCTTGTGATGACTATGAAGAGAGAGAAATCACCCATCCACATGCACTGCTGGTTTATTCTGCAGTCTTTCATTTTGATGTGTATTGTAAACTGTCATCTCACCTTTAGCTGTTCAGAATGGTGTTGTGAGACTGGTCCAGTTTCTGAATTGCTTGTAAAAAGTAAACTGTACGTTTAGGCAAAAATGTTAGTGATTTGGGGAGTTTTGCTTAAGTAGACTCAAGCTAATGGGGATCCATCACTTAGTACCAGGCTGCAACTGAAGGCTACAGGAACCGATGTAGAACATTCTGATTCTTAAGCAATAGTATAAGAAAAAGTAAGTCTTCCCTGAGTTAGAGATGGCATTGCTAAATGAGGGTGAGTAGAAGTGGAAGAAAATGTACGTGTATATTTGGCCAAATTTGTTCAGTTACACTGTGATTGGCCAAAGTCTGTGTTTGGGTTTTCTGGTTGTAGAGACAATTGTGGCTCCTCTGTGCAAAGTGACCTAGAGACTCCCTCCAAAACTGCAGTGCTCTGTCATCTGAGCAGACATAGAAGCAGCAGAAGAATTGGAATCAGGAGAAGGATAACCACAGAGGGTGTATGATGAAACTGAGTATCTTAAGGGCTAGACTCAGATAATAAATGGAGGTAAAATACAACAGCAGTTTGTGTTTTACTTTTCTATAACCAACATCACCTTGATGCAAAATATTTCAGCCTTTCTTAGGCCAAATTCAGAGTGGGCATTAAAAGGGTTATATTTTTATACCCAGAAAAGTAGAAATAAGAGGGTTTCCTTAAGACTAGACTTTTATTTTGCAGAGGCTGTAAACCATGAAAAAAGTGGGTTATCTGCTTTGGTCTCCTACCTTGTGTTTTGCTTTTTTTTAGCTGCATTTACTGTCTTTACAGTTACAGTTTTCTCTTAAAGCATGTGTTTTACCATGTTAGACCTTTTTTATTCTTATATAGAACTCTTTGTTTGTTTGAGTTTAATATCTGTGACTACAAATCATTTCAGTCCACCATATCTTGATCTTGTTTGCATTGATATGCATTCAGAACAGTGCTATTCTTGCCTTCTCAGGCTTTAAACCAGTATAGATACAGTTCTTGGAGTATACCAGAAGTGGTTAAGTATGAGTATCTC